ATGGTTGGGTTTAACTTTCCCATCCTTCACATCTTGCTGGTACTTTGGGCAGTTAGGCTTCCAATGTGCCTTTTCATGGCAATAGAAGCATTCAGCCTCTTTTGGGTCAGCAGAAGGAGTGATGAAACCTTTCTTGGTTCCATTTGAAGAGGAGCCTTCAAGGATCTTACCCTTGGTACCATTCGAGGGACTTTTCCTCTTCTTACCCTTCCCTTTCCCGATTGCCAAGACGGGGGCGAAGTTGATAGGAGTAGGAGTAACAACCGACTTACCCTTAAGACCACTTTTCGCGGTCTTTAGGAGTCCTTGAAGTCTGCTGAGTGTGACCTCTTTCTTATTCATGTGACATGTCATGCGGAATTGATCATAGCACGAGGGTAAGGAATGCAAAATGATATCTATCGCAAGATCCTCGTGGAAGTTCACATTAAGCTTCATCAGACGGTCCACATATCTTTTCATTTTCTGCATATAGCCCGTGATGGGTTCACCATCCTTCATTCGGGCTGTTATCATGGAGGAGATTATTTCATACCTTTCTTGTCGGGCACTTTTATGGTATCTTTCCATCAATTCTCGGTGCATTTCAAAAGGTTAGAAGTCCTCATAGGACTTTTGGAGTTCTGCTGTCATGGTGGCCATCATGATGCATGCCACTTTGGTGGCATCCCTTTCATGTGCCCGGAAGTCAGCGATCTCCTGGGGAGTTGCATTGGTCTCATCAATCTCTTTAAGCTCCTTATCGAGGACATATTCCTTGTCCTCGTAGCGAGTAATCATCCTAATGTTTATGATCCATTCATTGAAGTTGGATCCATCAAAAGTAACTTTCCCACACAAATTCATAAGGGTAAAGGAGCCATTAGGATTAGAGCCAGAAGTAGCATTGTTTGAAGACATCTGAGTAAGAAGAAAGACAAGATTAGTTTAGATATTAATTTAGTCCTTAATAAAACACCCAAATGAATTATTAAGGCTAGGACCCAATCACAATATATTATACTTAGAAGAGGTATGTCGTAATCTAAGTAATAACATATTTGAAAGGTAGGTGAATGGCGATTCACCAATTTCCACCAAAACGAAATATTAATATATTAAGTTTTAATTTGGTTCTTAGAAATTGCTAGATTCTTTTGAGATTTAATTAACTTTTCAAAGGCATGTTTCAATCTTGAGTGTGCCCTCCAAGTTTTGTGACTGGGATACCGATGATCACAAAACGAGGTGTGAAGTAACCATGCAAATCACTTGATACCCTCAATGTTTATTACTCAATCGATGTACCAGTTAACCACACGCGCTCCACCGACTTATAATAAACTTTAAGTCACCCTTTACCTACCTTGTTAAGTCCAAGTTAGTATGTCGGTTAACCACACACGCTCCACTAACGACTTAAACAAAGTGTAAAGTGTAATTTCATGGATTAGCACCTTATTCACATTTTCCTAAAGTAAATAAGATTGGGAATTTAATTAAAACATTTAGTTACTTTATCATTATCATTATACCTGTAACATTCGGAATCCCAGGTATATTATTTTAATATTTTATTTTTGGAATTTGTGAAGGAACTCAGCGAGTTGATGCTTAGACTCGCCGAGTAGGGTCGCGGTTGATCATTCGGGTTCGCGTTGGACTCGGCGAGTCCACGCTGTTTAATGAAACCCTAATCCTCCGGGGCTGGAGCCTATTTAAAGGCCCTTATGGCCGTCCATTGCGGCTACCACACCCCAGAGAGAGTCTTAGATCGCTTGTGAAGAAAAGATAGGCCATTGTTGATCAATTGTTGGTAAAATTTGAAGGAAAAGGTGACCAAGGCAAAAGAAGGCTGAAGGAAGTGCAAAGCTAGTGTCTTCAGAGATCAGAGGCTTCATATTAAGGTATTCCTTCGGACCTTTTCCAGTTTTGGGTGTTGATTCATAGAGTTTGGGTTTTGTTATGGCCCTTTAGAAGAAGAATATGTAGAGTATTTAGTCCCCTCTCGAGTTTGTTTTTGGATCTGGATTCAAAGGGGTCCAGAGACTTCAACCCATGAAGTTTTATGAGTCTTTTTGGGTTGATTGGACTTAGGTTGCCATTTTTGGGAATAAATCACCATTTGATGCCATTATGTATATATATATATATATATGTATGTATATATATATATAAGCATCAAGTTTCGAGCTTTGCGTGATTATATTGCTTGGGAAGGACAAATCTATGGATTTGAGGAACAGATCTGACCTCAGGAGGTCAATAGAACTTGTGCATGGCATGTACTCGCCGAGTTGTTCTTGGGATTCGGCGGGTTGAGTCGGGGTAGCCCCTCAATTCTTACCTGGGGACTCATCGAGTAAAGGGAGGGACTCGACGTGTTAAATGGGACTAAAGAGTTAAGTGAACACAGGTGGACTCGCCGAGTTGCCCAAGTGCACTCGCCGAGTCGGGTCAAAGTTTGACCGTTGACTTTGGTTGACTTTTAAGGTTTGGTCAACAACGAGGGCTTTTGAGCCAAAGGAGGGGTAAAATGGTCTTTCACCCTTCTGAGTGAGCTTAAAGAAAGTAGAGTCTAGTTCTGGGAGTTATATTAATGAGAATATTGCTTTATGTGTTTAGGCGGAAGCTAGATCGTATTTCTACCGAGTCAGTGACTTACCGAGATATCAAAGGTGAGTCTTCTCACTATACTGTACCTGGAAGGGTATCTATGTGTGACCGAAGGGTGTGATATGCTATAAGATATATGCATTGTATGTGATTAGTTACCCGTTTGGTATGTGCTATGTATGCTATGCTTGATATGGGCCTGAAGGCATTATGTTATGGGCCGGAAGGCATTATGTTATGGGCCAGAAGGCATTATGATGTAGACCAGAATGTTAGGGAGTTATGGACCGGAAGGTCGACACGGGTAGGACCGGAAGGTTTACCGGGTTGGGATGGAAGTCCCCTGAGACACATGGACCGAAAGGTCATGGCCTGGAAGGGCGTATGTGTGTAGGTGGTATTTTGGGGAACTCACTAAGCATTTATGCTTACAGTTGTTGTGTTATGTGTTTCAGGTACTAGCGAGGACCGTGGGAAGGCGCCGACATAATCTGTACACACTAACGGAAGATTTATTTTATGATCTTGGGATGTATTTTTATTATGATGACATTTGCTAAACATGAGATTTGGGAATATTGAATGATGGTTTATGTTGTTTGAAAAATGAAAATTTGTTTTGAAAATTCACGTTTTTACAATACTTTTAATGAGAACTTATAAGTCCTTATCCTACCTGTTCGGCTAACGACCCTCCACCGATCAAGGAAGCGGTGGGTGAGAGTGGACACCTATTAAGTTGCCATTTTATAGGCAACAACCTTATACCCCTCCCCCCCCCCCCCCTTATAGATCGACTTCGTGAATGAGACGTACTAGCGGTAAGACGACTTGATCTTATACATACATACATACATACATACATACATACATATATATATATATATATATATATATATATATATATATATATATATATTATTAACTTATAATATTATAAAGTATAAGGGTTGAATTTTAACTTTTAAAGTTCTAAGGGTTGGAACTAAAGTTTTAATCATGACTTTAATTGTTCCAAAACTTGAGGGCAAGTTTTTTAAACTTTCAAAAAATTTCATTTCTTATAACTTATGAATTAATTGAGTATTAATCTTCATTTTTATAACCTTTGTGTTCTTTTAATGGTTTTTATTAAAGTGTGACCTTTGGTTTTCCATAACTTGAGGACAAGTTATGGAATCCATTAAAACACATAGTGATCTTGAATTAAACTACCAAGTAGGTTACAAACAATTCCTATGATCATCTAATCTTCAAAAGTTCAAGAACATGAATATGAACATTTCAAGAATCAAAAATTACTCATAAAACTTATAATTTTTTTATAATTGCCATTGTAAATGGATTAGCATAAACATTACACCATCTAAAACAAGTTTTAAAACACCAAAACAGTTTAGGGTAATGTTTCTAGTACATTTCCAGCAACAAAAGTCGAAAATCTGCTGTCATGGCCTCTTACTCGTCGAGTGCATGAACCTACTCGACGAGTAGGATGAATTTTCACTTGGACTCGTCGAGTCCCCCCATGGACTCAGCGAGTCCACTACTCAGACAACAAACAATTTTGATTTTTAACACATTTTTGCACAAATAACAAACAAACAAACTTAGGCTAAGATACCACTGATGGGGTTTGAGCATTCTAACACTTCCTAAGTGTACATGCAACCCTAATAAACCTTGGATCTATGTTTGTCTAAGATTCATGCAAAATTGATTTCCAAGGTTCATGATCCTATCTAGCATACATGGGGAACATTTTAACTTAAATGATAGATAGAATACCATACCTTGTTGTTGATTTTGATTCCTTGAAACCTTGTGAGCCTAGCACCCCAAGTGTGATGCTTCAAATGCTTCACACAACACCAAATGCTATGAAGTAAACTTGGAGAGAAAGTGTAACACTTAAAAATCGGCTCTAGCCCTCAAGTATGCATGCATAGCCGATTTTGGGAGATGTCACATGGTTTATAAAGTATGTTGCATTAGGTAAACCCTAATGTAACATGACTCTTCATTTCTATGACCCATGGATTAACTCCATGGAGCATCCATGGAGTATCCTATGGGTGGAACCCAACTTGATAATCCATGGAGCCTCTTAGCCCACTATATAAGTTATGGATGATTTACATAATCAACCCATATATTTAATTAGTTATCTTTTGTTCACTCAATTAATTCTAAATTAATTCTTGATCAAACTAATTAAATAATATTATTAATAAATCAAAACTTATAATATATTAATACATCATAAGTGTTATTTTTCTCGTTTTAGTTTATCCAATGCATGGTGCCATGTAACCCAAATGGACCATGCCGGGTCGGGTCAAGTACATACCAGAAATAATTATGGACTTAGACACCTTATCCAACAGGGTCCTCCAAGAGAAGGTATGGAGAAGTTGGAAGTAGGTTGCTATTACGCTTCAAGAGGTGAGTTATAATCTCTTTTAGGGTATGATTTAGTAAGATAAATTGAATGTTAAAGTATATATGTGTGAATGCATGAAAGTAGAATATGTTATTGTTAGTAGTGACATGTTTGATGAAATGATGGTATGTTATTATATTATCAAAAGATATTATTTGATGAATTGTTAGTCTATGTTATTTATGTACACATAGAGTTTGAGATAAAATTTAGAAAAGTAATTCATCTAATATGAGAGATCCATGAGGGATCTATAGAAAGATTATTGTTGGATGTTACATGGAAACTGTTTAGATAACAAAGTCTGGTTCCTTGTGAACCGGATGTTACATGGAAATTGTTTAGATAACAAAGTCTAGTTACTTTTGTATTGCTAAGAGTAGAGATATGTGTTCATTCAATATGATCAACATAATCACTTATGTGACTAGTGAGAGATATGAAGTATACGAGATAAGAGATTGTTATTATGTATGTTATGTTATTTTATAACTCATCCGACAACATGTCTGATATATGTTGTTTCCATGTATCTTGAGGTTCAAGTAGCATGCGTTAAAGAGTGTGGATGTAGAAGCATCAAGAACTTGGACTGGACTTTTGTTGCATGATTTATTCTTGTTGCTTTAATTGTGGTTAAGATATGAATTGGTAACACTCATAAATGTTTTCTGGAAACACTTTTAAAGATTCTTGGAAACTCCGGTTTATGATGATGTAAAATACTCTGATATTTTCCAGCATTTGAATGTTATATATATATATATATATATATATATATATATATATATATATATATATATATATATATATAAATATAAATATAATACAAGTTGTTACAACTCTCACTTTCATTTCATATGCATAAAAGTTGCTCAAAACATAATCAAAAGATGTGTATCATGTGGACTTGTACAAAAGTTGTGCATAAATTTAAAAAAATATTAGTTTATTCTAAATCCATCGGGTTTGTGTTGAGTGCTGCCACTTCCATCATTTTGTACGACTTTCTTCCTCATGCCATTCAAAAAAATTGTAATCCTCTTTATAATTTGAGGCATAGCACCACCACAAATTATTGTTGAGTAGGGTTAGGAATTTCAACATGAAGTTCCACTTAAGGTCAACCTTATTCCACTTGAGGTTCAACTTTTGTTTCAAATATGATTTTCGTAGTATTAACGCGTTATCTCTCTAGTTATAATAATTTCTATGCTGGTCACAACTAATTACTTAAATCCTAATTGTTTATTTAATGTGTGTGTTCAAACATAAGGGTGTATTTGGGATTACTTTTAACATAAGTTTAATTGTTTATTCAATGTGTGTGTTCAAACATAAGGGTGTATTTGAGATTACTTTTTAACATAAGGTCCTCTTTATAAAAGTACTTTTTGTAAAAGATTTTTTTTTAAAAGATGGTGTTTAAAATGTATTTATCTTGTTTTTTTTAACTTTTAAGTGATAAAAGCTAAAAATCATAAAAAAGATGTAAATTCCTATTTTTTTCTCGGACCAACTTTTTCTTCTTGACTAAAAATTGATTTTAAAAGATGTTTTCAATTTACCAAACAATTTTTAGTAACTTTTAATTTTTTTTAAAAAATTAAAAGTCAAAAAATAATTAAAAAGTAATCCCAAATAGCTTATAAACCTAGAATAATTGTTAGAGTATATCTTCAACTATACACATTCTCTTATGTTTTATACATATTTGAGTCTACTCACACTACACACTACATAACCATTAAAAATTTAAACATATAAATATTAGACTCTACGTATATATCTTACGATAACCAATCAACAATCTAAAATCAATATTGAAAAACAATCCAAAAGCACAATATTCAAATCGACACTACAAATTCTTTTGAAAGAGACAAAACATTTATTTAGGACAGAGGAATACTAAAGTTATAAATCTCCTTCATGTGGTCCAATTAATACCACCTTCTATCCATATCACTTTTATTGAGGTTCTTATTCATTCGTCAATCAACAAATATCCAAACGACAGCGTGGCAGTTTCACAAGCTTGTAGAGGCAACTGGCGAATGACGATCTGACACGTTGTCGGTTGTATAAAAATTTCAAATATTCAGGTCATAGACGATACAAACTCGCTAATAAGCTACGTAATCGTATTTCTTCCCCCATAACGCATAATGTTGGCAATCGAGGGGCCACATGCTTGACTTGTGGACGCTGTTCACTCTGAATCGGTTACATTTGGTCCCATCTCCCTCGAATGAATCTCAATCTTCAACTGCTACTGCGAATTATTGTCCTCTATCTTCCTACTAGAGATTAGGTAAGTACGGATTTTGCTATGTGTGTCTTCGTTTATGAAATTGATTCTCTCATTCTATTCAATTTCCAATTTCTTCTGATAACTATGATTGCAATTTAGCTCTTACTCAAGTAATCGGGAAACATGTAAGCGAGCATTAGTCGGAACCATTTTTATGATGTCTTCTTTGCCATGATTTTCCCTAAACCATTAGGTTTTCACTTCACATAGAGTATAATGGAGTTTAAGTTACTTCAATACTTCTGCATGTTCGAAGATGTATAGCATTTAGCCTTTTCTTCAGTTGTTAAGTTCGTTATCATTATTATCAAGTCATGATTGGGATTTTGGTTACGCAATTTGATTTCGCCTGTTACAGTTGAAGATTTTGCGAGTTTTATGCCTATGGAGTCAATTTAATTGATGCCCTAGCTCGCTCAAATTTTAGGAATACTCCTAATAATGATACCAAACGAGTTATACATCCCTTAGATTGCTAATTTGAGTCTGTTTGGACAATGAAGAAGAGAACTGTTGTTTCAAATAATATATGATGGTTTCAGTTTTCAGCTTTCACCCCTATGTAGTTCCTACTGGGATGTTCTATTTAACAGTATCTTCTATATAAAATCTTCATTTATTCCTGATATATTAAACTTGCATACTTCTGATACTGATCCTTTATGATTTATCCCAACAGAGTGACAATCAACTTTACATGGCTAAAGTTCATGGGATCATCTACTCTTCTGTTAAAAGTCCTCATCATCCCACATCAAACAGTAACACTCAAGGATTGGTACCAAAGAAGTTCAGCCATGGGCAAAGTTCTGTGTTAAAACTGAAGTTATCAGGAAAGACAAAACTGAATACATTTGAAAAAACAATTAGTTCAGTCACTTCACGTGCTTATTCTTTCTTATGTCGTTCAAGAAAATCACAAACTACAGAAACAGAAGAACGTGTAAACCACAATGAAGATTGCTCTGACAATTTCAGGTATAAATATAATTACTCAAATACGCACATCATACTCCTTTTTTTACCAATTATTATGTTCTTTTGCATGTAGCAGAACTCAAGGAGGACATGAACAACATATGCATCCAGAAAGAATTGGCATCACAAACAAGGCATTAGCTGAAGCTTGTAAATATGCTTACAATGATGCTAGATTTGTAAACGAAAGGGCCAAAAACGACATTTTCTTACTTTCACGGTTTGCCTACTTGCTCTATTATGCTCATACAATGATGACCTGGCATGCTGACTGGATTTTTTTTATTAGTGGCATTATGAGGTTGGATGCTCGGGCACGCCAAGATGTTGCTATTCTTGGTTTAGGATTTTTAAAACTTGATGGTAATTAATATTCTATATAATAAACTGATATTCATCGAGTATAAAATATAAAAATGTTCACAAAATTTTTAAATAACTTGTTTTGGTAGCTCGGGCTAGAGAGGACACTGAAAAAATTGACAATAATGTGAAGAAAAGAGCTGAGCGACTTCATCACATTGCCCTTGTACGTATAATTTTATCTATTTCTTTATTTTTAAAAACATTTTCCATACCTTAATAACATTTACACACTTTTTTTTTATTACAAGATTTTAAAAAACAAAGCTGAATCCAAATTGAAAAGCGTTGCTGACCGACATTGGAGTGATGGAGCTTTAGAGGTGCCTTAAGTTAAATCTGTAAATTTAATAATTAATATTCTCGTTGCTGATTTTTTTTTTTTTTTATAATCGTTAGATTTTTCATTTAAAAATTAAAATATTTATTTTGGTAGGCTGATCTCCGTCGTGCTGACTATATAGCCAAACAGCGAGCCATGGAAGATGCCCTCATGGCTTTAGAGGTACGTTTTGATGTTCCACAATTTTTTTTATATATATTTATGATAATGTATTTGACTATTTTCATTTTCATTTTTTTTTTTACTTTTAAATCTTTGTGTAGTTTATCAAAGATGTTCAAGACATGATGATGAGCAAGATGTATAAGCTGTAAGTTCCTTTAGTTTTATATACAAAATTGTGTAGACTATACTGATGTCAAACTATGTATAGGAAAAATGGTGCTTTGTCATCTGATGACATGGCGGGTCAAATAACACTTGAAAAGAATGGGAAGGTTCTAGACTTTTTCCCTGGTGAGGTGTCAACTGATCGCATTACTGCTATTCAGGTCTGTTACAATTTATAAAATATAAATCACATTTTTTCTTCAACATTTTAGATGTCATTGTAAATTTATAAAGATATGTTCAGGAGGCTTATAGGGATATGGCATCTGCACTTTCCGAGGCTGATGGAATTGACTATACTGACCCTGAAGAGGTCAGCTGAAAAAGAAAACCAAAATACAAATTTCAATTAAAAAAAAAAAAATGGAAAGTAGGATGTTAATTCAATGTTTTGCAGCTGGAGTTGTTGGTTGCAACATTGATGGATCTTGATGCAATGGATGGTAAAGGGAGTGTGTCGTTATTGGCAGAGTGTTCAAGTTCTCCTGATGTCAATACAAGGTATGTATATCAAGGAGGGTATTTAGGTCATTTGTACAATCTGTTGTGTCCTGTGTTAACAAATTGGGATATTGTTGCAGAAAAGCATTGGCTAATGCTTTATCAGTTGCACCATCGATGTGGACACTTGGCAATGCAGGGATGGGAGCTTTACAGGTAAGTGATTTTATTTTCGTGAGGAAAGGGTATTTTGGACATTTAAGTGATGAGGGGTAGAGAAGTGTGTGTTTATAAAATATTTGGTTGCAGAGATTGGCAGAAGACAGTAACCCAATGATTGCAGCTGCAGCATCTAAAACCATATCAGAATTGAAGAGACAGTGGGAGATAGAAGAAGGTGACAACTATAGATTTATGATGAATCAGATTCCATTGCCAAAGTTAGACTACAAAGATGATGATGATGATGAAACAGAAGACTAATAAGGTTGACTTTTAGAAAGATGATATTAATGTAATGTAGATAGATATCTCATAATTTGTAACATATTAATGATGCCTATAGGTTTTACGTCTTTTTATTTCTACTACTTCCTCCTCATGGGACGATGTTCATTATGATTATGAAATATAGATGGCATTATTATGACATGGGGTCTATTATGAATAGAAAGGGAACTTATTTTCATCCAAAAATGAAATAAAAAAAACATCTCTAGACTCAATAAAGTTATTAACATAGTATGAATCATTAGTTTTAATTACCAAAATGAAGTTTAGATGTTTAGACCTTTTTTTGTGATTTAATACTCGTTTTATTGTCATTGGTGTAGTAACATTGACAATATGGTGTTAAGGTTGTGCATTGTATATTTGAGGATATATAATTCTACATTTATGTGAAATAAGCGGATTGAATTTATCCATCACTTCTCTCCACTCAATACGGAAATACAAATTTGAAATTTGTTTTTGGTGTGAGAATCGGTTATTGATCTCGATAATTAATTAAGAGATCTTCTAATATGTGCCCTATAAGCATATATAAGAAGCATTAACTAATGATAAATATTACCATAATTAAATATAAAATATATTAATTATGAGGAATATTATCATAATTAAATTTGAAATGCATTAATAATCTTAATAATAAATATACTTTGAATTTAATTATGATAATATTTTTCATAATTAATCCTTCTTATATTAGAAAATCTCATTAATTAATTATATATACTCTTCATAGTCCATAATATAATTCTTTAATGCAAAAAAAAAAAAAAAAAAAAAAAAAAAAAAAAAAAAAAAAAAAGTACGCTCTTAATATCAAAATTAAATCCAGTTATTTAACAATAGCATTTAAAAACTATTTTATAAGCTATAGAATAGACAAGAGAGTAGAAGACAAGAATAAAGAGAAAGCAAAAAAAGACAAAGTTGCAAGTAACTAGAATTTCAATACTCACATCCAATGTTTTAAAAATCGGTTTGAACCGGCCGGTCGAACCGGTTGGACCAGGAATCGGAAAAGAGAGCGGTTTAACTATCTCCGGTTTTACACCAATTTTTGAACCGGATTGAACCAGCCGGTTTTTAGAAAAAACCGGTTGAACCAGTCAAAATAAACCGATTAAACTAAATAAAAATACATGAAAAAAATATTTTCAATAATAAAGGTGTATTTTTTTCATATTTATTTAGATTTCTCTAAATAAAAACATATGGTAAATGTTATGATGTTTTTTGATGCATTTATATTAATTTAAAATTATATTCTGTTTCGGTATTATACATTTATACTTTATTTTCTTTTGGACGTATGTGAATTGATATAAAACTTATAGTTATGTGTTGTTTTAATGTATTTATATTGATCTACAACTTATTTTTATGTGTATTTTTAATGTTTGAACTTGTAGACGTCAAATTCATGACATATGTATGTATGTATGTGTAGAAAAATAAGAAAAAAAATGAAAATTATAGAAACCGGTTGACGAAGCGGTCGAACCGGTTGAACCGGAAACCGATCACCATACCGGTTCAACTAAAAAACTGGTTTTTAAAACATTCCTCACATCTTCTACACATTCAACACGTCATCGATTCACATACCTACAAACGACACGTCATCGATCCACTCGATAAACAAATCCAAAGCCGTTAATCCCATCACCCCTCGAAAATCACAACTGTCTAATTTATTTAGGAAGCTAGAATCCTCTCATAAATTGTCTTCACGTAGACCTTCCCCTTCACTCATCATTCATCATTCATCACCCACAAAGCTTCTTACTACGCTATTTCAATGGCCACTGAAGAAGATACCAACCTCCCATCACTCCCCCCCTATCCTCAAGTAACCATTGATCTTCGTTTTTTTAAGAATTCAAGAAAAGTAATTGAGGGTTTGAATTGGGTTTCAGTTTTTATGAAATCGATTTTGAATTGTTGGTCTACTGTGCAGATGATCTTTGAAGCGATTGATGCTTTGAAACAGAAAGAAGGTTCGAACAAATCGTCGATATTAAACCACATCGAATCAACTTATGGTAATTTACCATCAGGAGGCACGGCGCTATTGACGGATAATCTGAAGAATTTGAGGGACAGTGGTGAATTAGTGTTGTTGAGGAACAATTATATGAGACCTGATCCTAACTCCCCATTGAAACGTGGCCGCGGACGTCCTTCGAAGCCGAAGGATCCGGCGGCGTTGGAGAAGAATCCGACAGCGGAGTCCGGGTCAGAGGTGAAGAGGGGGAGGGGGCGACCGAAGAAGGATCCAAATGCGCCACTGGCGGCGAAGAAGGTTAAGATTTCGACTGGTAGTGGTAGGCCGAGAGGGAGGCCGCGGAAGGTGCAGCCGGAGTTGACAGGTGTTGAAGTTAATTGACGACGACTTGTAACTTTTAACGGGAAACTAAGTATTTTTCCAGGGTGAAATGACTTAATACAGGATTTATGTGCTATGGAGAATTAGCGATGGTCTTTTGAACTTTGAAAATAGTATTATTAGATTCTTGTGCTCGTCTTTGCTTTTAAGGGTGTGTAATGTAGTTTAGTGTTTGTGACATTGTAATTATAGCTACTCTAAATGGATACTTGAGGTTGAAGAGTCATTTTATTCTCTCTAAACCAATAACGTAATATCATATTTTCAAATTTTAAGCGAAGGATAAATTACATTGTAAAGCGAATGATACCTCATCATGATGTGATAGGAAGTAATCTAAGAATATTTATTATAATCACTCTAGAGTCTTTCACCCATAGAAGTACTAAATTTTATCATATTTGGTTTATATATTTCTATGTAGACTTTCTTGATATGATTTCTTTTGAGTGTGTAATATTTATGAACTTTTCATACAAGAGCAACATGAGAAACTTTATTATGTGTTTTTATTGAACTTTTGTATTATGGGCTTTAATGTATAAAAGAGGGAAAATGACTCTGAATGATAACTAACTGTTGAGTTTGTTTATATCTGATCTTTTTTTAATATCAAATATACCATCGAATTTGTTGTTTGTATTCACCATTTTTACTGATGCTTTACCTTACGAATAGATGCCCTACTTTTGACTGACTATCCTTGGAACATTAATTTTGGTTTAGTTGTAACCTATGCTGAGATTGGTAGTAAGAAAACATACATCGACTCTAACTAATCAAACTCTTATACGTCACACCTACAGTGACGTAAATGTTAAACGGTGAGATGACATCATGGATCACAATTATCGATTACAATGAACAAAACACTATAATATAACATGAAGTAGAAACTTTCATTACTGAATAAATATTACATCTGATACTTAATCTATAATGTTGGACTTTAAAATACAGGACAGTCCTTAACTGCATACATAATTATGAAAATATTAAACAACTCTAAGTAAACTGTCATCCCATGATTGTTCCAATGATTGTAACCGTCTGACTCTTAATTCCCTGAGAATACATATGATTTGGAAGTGTGTTAATGTAATGTTGGTGAACTCATAAGTTTATAATGTTTGTATCGAAATCAATGTTTTAAAAACCGGTTTTTAGTTGAATCGGTTAATCATTGGTTTCCAGTTCAACCGGTTTAACTAGTTCGACCATCAAATAAATCGGTTTCTACAATTTTGATCTTTTTTTGTATTTTTCTACATATACATATATACATAAATCAAGAATTTGATGTCGATAAGTTCAAATATTAAAAATACACATGAAAACAAGTTGTAGATCAAATCTAAATACATTAAAATAACACATACTCATAAGTGTTACATCAATCTACATGCATTAAAAAGAAAATAAAGTCATAGATGAATACAAATACATCAAAAAACTTCATAACATTTATTATGTATTATTATTCATAAAAATCTTAATAGATGTGAAATGCAAAATGTTTCAATTTTATTGTTTTTATTCAATTTAACTAGTTCAACCAGATTTTGTGAAAACTGACCGGTCCGTTCCGGTTCAGAAGTAGACATAAAACTCATGATAATTGAATCGCTCTCTTCCCCGGTTCCTGGTCCAACCGGTTCGACCGGCCAGTTTAAACCGGTTTTTAAAACATTGATCAAAATGTACTTTTATACCAAATGTATGTTTATTGAAAATGTACTTTTAAACCAAAAGTATGTTTATCAAAAATGTATTTTTATCCAAAAATATGTTTATTAAAACTGTATGTTTAAACCATAAGTATGTGTACTATGTATATAGGTGACTACCCAACCTATATATAAATGTATTTAGAAGTATACAACGTTGACTTTAATGATGATCCAGTCATCTACCAGAGTATAGATGGCGACCATACACTACTCTAGACAGTCTAGTGGAACGCTAGCAGACTCGCAAATTGTAGGTGATTTTGAACTACGTGCTCACCAGATGTACTCTAAAAACCCTGACGGCTATAGACTTAGTGTCTTACAAATGAACGTTGATAGCTATGGATTTAGTGACCTATAGACAAACATCAGTAGCTATGGAATTAGTGCCTAACAGATAACATCGGCAGCTATAGACTTAATGCATGTTGAATAGATCCTAGCAACGATAGACTTCGTGCCTATTCCTTAGGACAATCCTTAGGAATAAATAAATTAAGAATAGATGATTCTTAGGGTAGATACTTAAGAATAAAGAGGATAATTGGGATGGAAAGTTGAGTTAATTGTTTGATGATTAAACATAATAATTATATTGTGAAAACCATATGTACTCACCAGGTTTTCCAACCTGACCCACTCAGTTTATTTGTATCACTGGCATCGATGTGAATATATATATTACACTGAAAGATTAAAGGATATGTAAATCATTAGTATATATGAATGTAAGGTCTGTTTATGCTTATGTTTCTGTATTGACAATGAAATCCCATTGATATTAATATAAATAAAATGCATTCCTTCGGAAATGCTTTGATAACATCTTTATCATGTTTTCTGGGAACAAATTCCGCAAGACTACTTTACAAAAAGGATGTTTTTATTTTAAAATAAGCATAAATAAAATTTTTAAAATGACTGTGAATTTGGGATGTCACACTATGGTTATACGTTGAAGAGATTAGAAGATCAAACTCATGTTCTACACTTAATATGGGTGTTAGAATTTTAGGGTAATAAAAGCACTTGGATATTCTGAGAATTGTGATTTCACTATCAAATCAAAGTATTGGGTGATACTCCCTAATCTTTGATTAGATAAGACTTGAAAGAGAAAAGAACAGAGAATGAGATATATGAATTTCGTAAGTACCAGAAAAACTGACTAAAATTGGTTAAATACCTCATTTGTCTAAAAACTGTCAAAACTGTCATAAACAGTTTGGCAACAGTCAAAAAACTGTCATAAATCCGGGTTTTCTATAAGGATTAATACCAAGCCAAAAAAACGGGTCAAATATTCTAAATTTTGATTTATGATGCATTTTCAATATAACTCGATCCTAGCCAGGGGCTCTGCCCCTTGGACCCCGCCAGGGGCTGCCTTGGACCCGCTCCCAGAAGCGCTACCCTCGAACCCCCATTCGTTTAGGGGCTTCGCCCTTGAATGACATTCTACTTTTAATCTTGAATAAACTTAAACAAGTGTGCACTCTACACCTTTTTTACTTGTTTAATATTTATCAAGATCACTTTTGGTCAACAAAGCAATCTCATTACACTTAAATCACATTAATGAAACAAATCACTAACAATGGGTGTATTAACAATGATATATGATAAAAATTACTTTGATAAGTTGTGTGTGTGTGTGTGTTTTGATGGTGTTAAAAGGTGTGGATAGAAATGTGTAACAAAAAAATACGATAAATGGGTTTTTCTTAAAAAGTATATGCAATTGGAAATTGTTATGTGTTATTGGTAAGAAGAAAACAATAAGATATTCCTAATTGCATGAGTTATGGTCTGTGTTGAAATCAAGAAAAAATATAATTGGTTTTTAGATTTGCTAGTAGATGATCTTGATCTCCATATTAGACATTGGTTGACATTAATGTCTAACTAGTATGTGTTCTACTTTCACTTCCAGTGTTGATGTCTTTTGTAGTGTTTTTTTTTTCTATTTTGTACATTGTTTGGTAATAAAAAATAATGAAATATATTGTTCAATTAGGATTGAGGGGGTGAGGGTAATATAAGCATAAGAAAAGAGGAGGTGACACCTATGTGGTGTGGCATACACCGCCTCCTCAACATAGCTTGACAAAATGACATTAGAATGTCGAGCTCCTCTTGAACATAGCATGACAAATGATAAGTTGTGTGTGTGTTTTGATGGTGTTAAAAGGTGTGGATAGAAATGTGTAACAAAAAATACGATAAATGGGTTTTTCTTAAAAAGTATATGCAATTAGAAATTGTTATGTGTTATTGGTAAGAAGAAAACAATAAGATATTCCTAATTGCATGAGTTATGGTCTGTGTTGAAATCAAGAAAAAATAGAATTGGTTTTTAGATTTGCTAGTAGATGATCTTGATCTCCATATCAGACATGGGTTGATATTAATGTCTAACTAGTATGTGTTCTACTTTCACTTCCAGTGTTGGTGTCTTTTTTTTTTTTTTTTTTTGAACATTGTTTGGTAATAAAAAAATAATGAAATATATTGTTCAATTAGGATTGAGGGGGTGAGGGTAACATAAGCATAAGAAAAGAGGAGGTGACACCTATGTGGTGTGGCATACACCGCCTCATGAACATAGCATGACAAAATGACATTGAAATGTCGAGCTCCTTCTCTCTTTATTTTTCTTCCACTTTATCTCTTATTCTCCTTTTTTGTCACAATATCACTCCCTCTCATACGACATGATGACATACAATATGGCAAAAATGATGTGAAGTGTCTTTGTCATGGCTACCACTCCCACAGCCTTAGGAAAAAACATTATCATGTGGATTCAATATATTTGTTTGTGGACCATACACATTATTCATTAGTGGTTTGTGGAAGTAAACAAAAAAACGTTACAAGGTTTAAGAACCGCCAAATACTTTGGTTAGTGTTGGTGATTTGTTGCAAAAAAAACAAAGTTAATTAGCCATCGTATTTTGGTGATTCTTGAACCTTTAGCACATATGATGAGGTTCACTCTTTAGCTAGATAGAGGTAGTCACATTGTACGATAAGAGACAATGATGTGTTAGAAATGGTATGGAGATTGTTGATCGTTGAGTTATGCATTGATGATGACAACATTTTACATGTGGTCTAAAAATAGGCCTTTCATTAAGTTTTTTTTGGGTGAATTATGTGGGTGTTTGAGATTGCTTTAAAAATGATTTTTGGACTTCTTATCTTACTAAAAAATCATAAAATTTTAAAAGATGTTTGACAAGTTAAGAAGTTCTTTATAAAACAACTTTTGGAAACGGAAAAAAGATTGATTCCAAAAGTCACGATGGACTTCTTATTTTACTAAAAAGTCATAAAATTTTAAAAGATGTTTGACAAGTTAAGAAGTTCTTTATAAAACAACTTTTGGAAACGGAAAAAAGATTGATTCCAAAAGTCACAATTCGTGACTTTTTGTGACTTTTGTGTCTTTTAAAAGCAATTTTTGTCTTTTGCCAATTCAAACACTTTTTAAACCACTCATTTTGAAAAAAAAAATCCTTTTAAAAAAGGATTTGAAAGCTGAAAAAATTATTTCAAACACCCCTTGAAGAGGAACAAAGACACCGAATTGAAATTTTCTAGGATTCATCTTAGTTTGATATTTAATAATTCTCTAACATTATAGCCCAAATGAAAATTAGGTGGATATGTCCATATTTAAATTTAACCATTGAAATAGAAAACATATATCATATTATTATAATACCAAGAACTTAAAATATGCAAGAATAAAGATTAATGATCAATTTTGATGAAAACGAATAATTAGTTGGTCAATACTAACATTAACCCAAAAAAGAGAAAATATAATACAAAACTTTTGAAGTATTTTGCTACTTATATAAATGTTTGAAATAGGTCATATTTCCAAAGTGAAAATAACTAAAAGATATAACGTGACAATGACTAAAAGATATAATTGGGCTTCTAATTAGGTTTTACTCTTAATATGCTTGTTTTTAACTATTCAAAATGTATGATCTTTTTAACAGCCTTTTAGCTAATGTGTAACTGTTAAAGCAAGAATTACCAATGTCACCCGAAGATAGAAGGGCATTGTTAATACTTCATACTGGAATCTATAATGAACTCAACTCATCATCAATTCATCATAACATCAAACTCGTTCACTAACTCACTGTCCCTTAACCTCCCATGAATCGTAACTCTCCATCATATCCATCTCCTATAAATTCCAACTCCAATATCGTCTTCATCATCCATCTCCCATATCATCTTCTTCAACAAAAACAATGGCTAACAGTTTCCAATTAATCTTCCTAACCCTTCTCATTTCAGCCACTTCCATGTTGGTTGACACCAGGCCCTTCATCCCCATAGGTGCTCCATCACCAAGTCTTCTCAAGGAATTAGCCACCGGTGATGATATTGATTCAACTGGGTGTTGGGAGTCATTGTTCGAGCTTCAATCATGCAGTGGGGAAATCATACTGTTCTTCCTAAATGGAGAGACTTATCTTGGAATGGGTTGTTGCAAGGCGATTGAGAAGATTGAAAAGAAATGCTGGCCTTCTTCGCTTGGATCACTTGGGTTTACCAATGAAGAAGGTGATATCTTGCGTGGGTATTGTGATACTTCCGATGATAATGATGATGTTCCGACCACCACAACTCCACCGCATTCGGCCAATATCACCAACAGTACCTCGACAGATTGCAATAATGGCGGATTTTGATTGTGTTTTGTAAGATCAAACCATGATCATGAATAATGTAATAAAGACAGTTTTCAATTAAATGGCTTTCTTCTATCTTGTTCATTTAGACTCGTTATGATTATAAAAATCGGAGATTTTCAATAAGATTGAACAACCCTAAAACGGGAAATAAACAACGAACAAGATCTACAATTCCTTGATTTAACTTCTAACAATTGCCTAAAAAATTAACCTCCGAATCCATAGAGAGTGCGCCCCTGTCGTTTCAATGCATAAACCACATCCATGGCGGTAACAGTTTTCCGGCGAGCATGCTCGGTGTAAGTAACGGCGTCTCTGATGACATTCTCAAGAAATATCTTGAGAACTCCACGAGTTTCTTCATATATCAAACCACTGATACGTTTGACACCTCCTCTCCGAGCTAACCTTCTAATGGCGGGCTTTGTGATGCCTTGAATGTTATCACGAAGAACTTTCCGGTGTCTCTTGGCTCCTCCCTTTCCCAATCCTTTGCCTCCCTTACCACGGCCCGACATTTCTGAAAGATGCTAAGAACGAATTCAAAGGTGAAATTAGGGTTTTGGAATTGAAGACGATGATGAAATTGGGTAATTTGATCGGTTGTTTATAGTCAGAGGCGGGAACCTTTCGTTTTAGTGTTGAATGATGTACGTTCGATACTGTTTAATCGGACGGTGGTTTGCGCCTTTGAATAGCGATCCGCGTGATGTTCTTTTTCTTTCCTAGCTATTAAAAAAGAAAAAGAAAAAATGGTTATCAATTATGATGTAATATTTAACAAATTGATCATATGTTAATGATAAAAAAATGGTTATCAATTAAAAAGAAAAATTCAAAAATTTACAGTTTCGTAATTGTAATTGTAAAACATTTATATAAAAACGAATATCTTCATATAATTATGGAATTGTTCATATAATTATAAAATTGTTTAAAGAAATATGATTTTATAATTTATCAATAAAAAGGTAAATTCACAAAGTGGTAATTTATGTGATTATATCTAATGTATTATGTTATATAAATAATCATTCGTGCATTTTTCATGATCCATAGACAATATAAGTCACATGCTACCATCATAATTATTGAAACACGAAACAGAAATATCATTAAAAAATCTAAAAAATCATAATTTTGATGTCGTCCTTTAGTATATATATATCCTAGAAATAAGTTTGACTTGAGGTGTTGATAAGGAATATCTTAGCGTAGCTAGAACTGAAAGCACTTATGTGCAATCAGAATAACGATTTTGTTATGCAAGCAATCAAAGAAAACGGTAAAACGAAACAAATAATTAATGTGGTTCGGTCAATATACTTCCAAATGGATGAACCGAATAACTTTTCTATTATTTGATTGTATCAACCGAATTACCTTGGAACCCCTATCATATAATCGTAAACTCTAAAAACTATTGAATCAAATCCATATATAAGAAAATTTGGAATAACAAGAGAGTCATCAACCTACTCCCAATACTCATCATTTTGAAAAAATCATTCAAAATTTCTTCATTTTGTTCCAAATCGGCTTATTCATTCGGGTTATCAAATTCATAGGAAACAAACATTAAAAACTAGGGGACATATAGTTTAACATAAACCATCAACTCATCAACCATCATTATGTGTTAGGTTTCTATGAACTAGATAGCTAAAAGATTAGTTACATCTCTTAAAAATTTTGATATTTTTCAACCGGGATTCCATATAAAACGAAGCACGGTCTTGCGCATAAACTCCACATTTGAAATAATGAGTGGTTCCACCTCGACCCTTCCCCTTGAACCTGAGAACTCCGTTTATGTAGACCTTAACATTGTTGCCTTCTACATTATGGATAACGTTCAAACGAAACCATTTATTGTATATATTATGAAAAATAACACTTTTTCTATAGTAGTAAAGATTTCCATCGTAGACTCGAAGCATAAAAGTTGTAGCGTGCGGAGGGTCTGACCCAAACACTTGCATCACACTTACACCCGTTGTTCCATGTGGCACGAAGACATGGGCTTCAAATTGCCAAATACCCGTAGAATATTTGTAACCCTATAACATGCATAAAAGATCAATTGAAAACAAATTCAAACTTCTAGTAACTAAAATTTCAATCTATAAAATAAGTACTTACATTGATGAATAATTCAGAGCGAGGGAGTGTGGGACTACCACGAGATAATGGTTCATCCGTGGAGAAAACCCATAGTTTGTGAACTTCATTGATGAAGCTATACCTCTCCTCAAGAGGAAGATTATATGGTTTATGGTTTATATAATAGCTAGAGTTGAAAGGGAGACGAGTGAAACCCAAAGCTAAATCGTTTGTAAGTTCACCATGAGTAACAATTACATGCATAAATAGGAAAATGAATCCAAAAATCGAAGTAATATGCTTCAAGTGACACATTTCTCTAATCTAATATAACTGAGTTTGAAACTTAGAATTATGCTCATAATCACGTATATCTATCTGTTCTTTATATATAGTGTAACCCACATTTGCTGGAATAATAAGTTTGGACCAAGTCTTACATAAGCTTTTGGACAAAGTAATAAGACTGAATATTATGACAAATTTACAATGTCTTTAATTTTCGTTCTTTAAAAAAGACGGTGAATAAGTAAACATTTCTTGAGTTTAAATTAATGCTTAATTATATGCTTTGGCGGAGGAACCAATGGGGGCATGTGATAGTGACAACCATTTTTTTATTTACAAAAAACTCCTAGAATAATAATCATTTATTTTCATAGGCACAAAGTTAAATTTGATCATCTAAACACTTAAAATTGTGGCCGTAGTTATATTTTCTTGATAAAAAATTATTAGTTACACAAGCAATATTTCGTCTCTATCTTTCACGTGTATCACGAAATTCGCTCGATGATAGTCCAATAGAAATTGGCAATTTCAAGTTAATGCAAGAAAATTGATAGTTATTAACCATGTTTGTGCAAAGGTGTGTTCAATTTTATAGAAACCAACAAACCAAAAATACTTAGTACATCAACATTCATACTGCACTTTCTCTTAAGTATGGGCAGTGTTTCTATTATCTTCCTATATATTTTAGATGGTGACAGGTGTTAGTAAATATAATTTAAATTTGATTGAAATGTTAAATTTATACATTTATCATCATCTTAAATAGGTAGGAAGAAAAGTATAAACAAAATATAAAATGATATTTATTTTCTCTAAACATATAGAATATGCACTTCTACACCTTATGACTTTTATTTGAACTTAACTTAAAAACCTCCTTCTCGTATAAATTCCAACTAAAAAATGTGTAAAAATGTATGATAATCCAAAAATCACCAACAACTCTAACTAGTTGTATTAAAATGATTTATTTTCATAATTAAAAAAATTAAATAAGGACATTAAGCATTTTTTTTAACAGTAGATGAGTGTATTAGAACACTAAAAAGGAAAGTAAAACAAATATTACACGGTTGACACAATTATAATTGAATTTTTAAGTCAACCTGTCAATATTTTTAAAAACTGGTTTTTTAGTTGAACTGGTATGATGATTGATTTTCAGTTCGACCGTCGAGTCAACATGATTCTAGGATTTTTATAATTATATTTTTATTTTTATTTTCATGTACACTGATAGATTCGATTTCTTACTTTTTTTCATAGTTTATTTTTAGTTAAAACCATCTCATTTTAGTTAAGCTTCATGCATATTTTCTCTTTTTATTATTTTTTTCTTTTGTCGGGTGTTTTCCAGTCTTTTGAGCTTATTTTGCAGGATTTAATGAAGACTATTCGTTACTGGAGGTATGGAAGGAGTACGGGACAATTGGAGGCTTGTGGATTGCTTGTGAACTTGAGGTGGTGCAATTGGGCTCGATGTCAATATAAGCGAGAAGCGTGTTGGACTTAATCTTTGGACAAGGACTCGAGCTATGGAAGATTGAAGGAGCGTTGGGTCATCATTGGAGGCTTTGGAATAGCACAATTGGGTTATCAAGAGCTGTGCATGTGGGCTGGAGCTTAAATTACAATATTGGACTGGATTGTATTTTTAATGGGCCAAGGCATGCAATCAGCGAGACTCACGCGGTCCGCGTGGATCCATACGCAGTCCGCATGAATGGTGCTGAATTGAACCCGGGTTTTGACTTGTTGACTCTATTTTTGGAAGGTTGGTGGTAGCTTTTGGGAATTTTTTGAATCCGGAAATGAAGCCTTTTTGCTAGAGTTTTGAAGCATTTTTCATCACAATCACTTGGAAAAAAACTACTCTTTTCTCTCAAGAACACTTGGGAAGAATTTGAATATTGGTGTTATTTCTTTCCATCTTGCACTTAGAACAATGTTTGGTATTTCTAAACTTTCTTGTATTTCTTTTATTTTTGTCATGTTTGGCTAGATTTTCATGTGGTTGATGAGGGTTTAATCTCATGGATGATTGGTTACTTTGAAGACTAATACTATCTTGTGTTTGATGTTTATGAAAATGTTTTCTAGTTGAACATATTGTTATGTTTGTTTATCTTTGATCATGAGCTTGGATGAATAAATATTTATTTTTGTTGATCAATTTATTGGTTAAGTAATGGACTTTGAAGTTGATAAGCAACAAATGGTTTTTATGTTTGTTTTCAATTCATTTAAACCATGGGAATGTTTTCTCCATGATGATAATGTAAGCATTTGATTATCTTATGGATTTGGTAACTCTTAGAACTCAAAGCTAATTGATTTTCAGAAGATTGTATGCTTCATTGATTTTGTGACTTTAATTAAGGGAATGTGTTAGAGCTCCCCTAACCATTTTAATATCTAAGAAGAGTTGAGGTAATTTGTGCTTACGAATTGCTATAGTCATGTTAAACCAATTCACAAGTGTTGTTCCTTTTAGTCTAATGATAAGTTAACTACGTCTTCCATGTGGTGTATCCCAAAATCAACCAATTTCAATTCATTTAATTTAATCAAATCTTTTCTTGTTTATTTGTCATATTTACATTCATGCTAGTTTTAATTTTGTCAAACAATCAAAAAGAATTAACCCCCCCCCCACACACACAAACATTTTACTTTTACTTTTGTTTTACAAGTACTTGAACAAATGATTTACATAAAGATTTAAATTGAACCAATCTTCGTGGATACGATCCCTTTACTGCTATACACTATTTTAGTTTGTAATATTTAGGATATTAATTTTGTTGGTCTCGACAACCACCATACACATAAGTTTAAACATTAAAGATGTACATAAAAGCAAATTCAACATTAAAAGTACACATAAAAACAAGTTACAGATCACTCCAAATACATTACAAAAAATACATAACTATAAGTGTTACATCAATCCATATACAACAAAAAAGAAAATAAAATATAACACCTAAAAATGTAGTTTTAGATGAATACACATTTCAAAAGGTTCAAAACATTTACCATGTGTCTTTATTCAATTTAAGAGAAATCTAATTAGATGTGACATGACCACCAAAATTTGTTATGCAAAATCTTTCATTTA